AAAAAAAAGCAGAAAAGGAAAGGTGAGGAGGAGGGGCAGGTTTCTTATACAAGCCACAAGTATTTCAATTTTTTTCCTGAAGGGGCCCTTGGGTTAAAAGTTTCTCACCTCCTTTTGATTGGGTTCACAGCTAATAATCATATTAGCTACTGTCTTTTGAGTACGTATTTCATGCCAGGCACTGTGCATAACAGCCCCATTGCTAGTCCTGGCTGCGATCCTTCATGTGACCAGTTCAAGCTAGGCAGAGTTCAAACTCCGTTCTGTTTGGCCTCCAAATCTGTTGTAGGCAGGCCTGCTACCCAGGATTAGTGTCTTAGTTCCTTAGTGTTGCTGTACCACAGCTACCACCAATAGATGACTTTGAAGAACAAAGATTCACTGAACTGCAAAACAAAATGCACGGCCATTGAGCCCATGGCAACTCAGGGAGCCAATAGGTCAGAATTGAACTGCCCCCTGTGGGTTTCTGAGACTGTCCTCATGAGAATAGAAAGCCTCATCTTATTCCCATGGAGTGACAGGGGTTTCAAACTGCTGACCCTGTAGTTAGCAGTCTAAAGTGTAACCGTTACTCCTGAGGGGCTTCAAACATTCCTGAAGAAATGGAATTAAAAGATGATCGAGATTTCCCACCAACTTTTAGAAATTCTTACATAGTTTTTTCATAGTTCCAGAAATCAGGGCTTCAGTTCTATTGATAGACCCTACAGGTGTGTACCCTCAATTTATTGCTCACATCACATAGCAATATGAAAGATGATTATATCACATTAGATTAGATCCACAGGTATTGCTATTAGGGCTCCAACGTCTATCTTGGAGGGACACAACTCAAATGGTAACTGTTAGCTACTGTCTCATTAATTATTTAGGGAATGAGCTGTGTCAGCAACTTGGTAAAGAAACATACTCCAGACACTTGGCCTTCAGGGAGTTTAATTAAAGACCTTGGGGTAGACCAGAAAGGAAAATATAAACTAAGAACAAGTCTGCTTCCTGTCCATATGGAGGGAGCTACCTTCTTCCTTGCGTCTGTGATCCTGGGTCTGCGTCTGAGGACTGACTACACGAGAAGAAACAATTTTTATATGATTCAGTTCAAACCTCTAAGCCAAATAAAATGTTTTTTTTCTGATTTATGGATTCATTCATATACAGTAAAATGTGTTTGTGTGAAATATCTGGTGCATATCTATTTTAAAGGGTGTAAAAATCAAATTTCTTTTAGTTACTTATTTAATCAATGAGAAAGACGTGTTACTTCAAATTAAGGTGATCCCAGGAAATGCTGCATAGTCCTATAAATACTAGTTCCGAGAAGGGAGAGATCATTCTGGACTCAACACTTCTTGGAGCAACTTGAACTAGTCGTTGGAGGATGCCAGGTGGTGATGTAGGCAGAGAGAGGAATGGAGCGGGCACTTGAGAGGAGAGAAGTATAAACAAGCCTCGGTGGCAGAGGTCCTGGGGATGAGTCAGGTCATTTCCACACTACTTCATCTTCCGGGAAAAACTGAGAAGTGTAGTTGTTAAAGAGTGGTTTTGAAGTCATACACATTTTGGCTCAACCACCAGCTCTGCCAATTAAAAGCCTTAGGGCCTTTGGCCAGTTGCTGAAACTCCCTACGCCTCAGTTTTCTTCATTCCAGATGAGAACGAGGATGCCCACCGCACAGGGTCTGTGAGAGGAGTAAGTATCATGTCGTTTAGTTCTGGTTCAGGAATTGGAGGCGGCCGTTATGATCTCCCAAATCACTCTGAACTGTTCAGATTCCAATCTTAGTCATGCTTTAGTTCACCTCAGTGATCAATAACTGAAAACTATGCTCTCTTCCAGCTCATGGGATTTACAGGGCCGCAAAGCTCACCATCTTTGCCCCAAAAATGGTGGGATGAAGGAAATGCACGATCTGCGGTCCAACTTCACACAAAGCTGTGTCAGAGTAGGGGCTTCCTTCTTCCCAGCAACCGCACCAGCGTTGCGCCCACCTTCGGGTGCTCCTCTGCAGCCTTCACGGATCGTCTCAGGTGTTTTCCTAGTGCTTGGAAGGGTGAAACAGTCTGATGACCCCCGAGCTCTACAAAAACTCAGGAGAATGAGCAGAATTCACTCCTTTCAGGCCTCACTATGTGAGGCTGGCTCGCCGCAATTTCTGCTTTTTCTCAAGTCTGGGTTTCACGCTCTCTCTTTGTTGTTTCTGAGCATCACAGCGGTTCCCTACTAGCATTTCCAGCACAGCCAGAAGATGTGGGCTCTAGCTCACATCTAGCTAGGCAAGCCTTGGTAGGTCACTTGAGCTTCTAGGCCCCCATGTACTCATTCAGATCAATTGAAAACTGTGTATGGTAGTGCCTTGAAAGTGCTCTAAAATGAGTAGCTCAGATAAAGGTAAACAAATCAAGAAGATTCCCTGTGCCCCTATCTCCTTAACCCAGCCATGGGTTGAGGCCCAGACCCTGTCAGAACATGTCTCCTCAATAGTTGACCCTGAATGTGGACTTGGGAGTGGAGACTAAACCCAACGCAACTGACTCCTTCCTAGACCAGGACTTTGCGTTGTTTGGCTTCTCTCGTAAAATGCCAGCTGTCTTTGGATGGAGGTTGTGTAACAGGCATGAGGTCAAGCATAATAAAGAATGGCATCATCCTTTGGATTGAATGTCCAAGTCCCTGGAATCTATCACCATCCATCAGTTTATTGTAATTATCTTCGTGAAGAAGCCAGCATCTTGGTTAAGATGTCAGCATCATAACTTATTACTTGAATGACTCTAGTTAAGTTACTTACCTTCTACTTCCTTCATTTATAAAGTATGAATAATATAAAATGTGAGTATCTCTCTAATCAGACTGTTACCAGGGTTATTACCATTTTGTAAATGAAAATGTGTATGCCATAAGGGTATTGAAAATCACACAGTCCCCTCCTATGTTAATTTGCTATGCGCACTGTGTGTGTTATGTGCATGTGCATGTTTTTTAGTTGGTGCCAAGCCCTGGTGGTGCTGTCGGGTAAGTGACAGACTGCTAACCACAAGGTCTGCAGTTCAAATCCACCAGCCCCTCTTTGGGAGAAAGATGAGGCTGTCTGCTCCCATAAAGATTTACAAAACCTCGAAAACCCTAAATAGGGTCACAATGCATCGGCATCAGCTTGACAATAGTGGTTATTATGTGTAAGAAAAAAATCATAGTAAACGACAGTTTGTTTTTTTTTATTCTGTAGTACTTCATGAATTTGCACAGCATCCTTAGGCAGGGGCCATGGCAATCCTCTCTGAATCATTCCAATTTTAATATGCTTCTAGGTGCTGCTAAATCACACCCTGCTACATGTTTGAAAAGTGCTTAGTGTAGTGCTTGGCACGTGCCAGTGCTCAGTAACTGTTAGCAATTATTTTTGAGCATTTACAGTGCACCAGACACTATACTAAGTGCTTTATGGACACTCTTTATGGACACTGTACTAAGTGCTTTATGGGCTCTCTAATGTTCGCAACAATTCTGTGAAGCAACTCAAACTCACTGCTATAGATTCTGACTCTATAGGACAGTGCAGAACAGCCCCCGTGAGTTACCAAGACTGTCACTTTACAGGAATGGAAAGTGCTGCCTTTGTCCCTTGGAGGGGCTGGTGGTCTCGAACTGCTGACCTTGCAGCCACATGGGGAACCGCTACCCCACCAGGGCTCCCTTCTGTTGAGGTAGGCATTTTTAATTAAATGAAATCTGGAGACTCAGAAAGGTTACATGACTCACTCAAGGTCACAGCATCCTGAGTGGCAGAGTCTGGGTTCAGTCTCCAGCCCCCAGGGTCTTTCCATATACCCACTTAGCTCCCAAGGATTTCACAAGATCTTTATTCCTGTATTCCAAATGTACCTCTTGTACCCATTCCCCACGAAGCAGATTTCCTCCTCTTCTTTAAGATGCCCAAGCTCTGCCTCCTATTCTGACTGACCACATTCTCAGTCCTGGCCCTGACCCTCTGACTTCCCTCTTGAGAGTACTGGCCTCTGCTCGCTGTCACAGCGGAAATGATCAGCAAGGTCCTGGAGTACATGTCTCAGATCTCAGCACAACAGGCCAATGAAGGAGGGAGTCCCTTTAGCAGCCGCCACTCACTAGAGGCTTTCTCTGCCCCTCACGGCAGGTCCTCATGGCACACGGACAGACGGACTGGTGCGAACCAGGGGGATTAGGAGATGAGGAGCGTTTGCAGCAGGAATTGAAGGAGGGAAGTGTAGCTGCTTGACTTGAGAGGGAAGACTTCAGGGCACAGGGAGCTAAGCCTGGACCTCGGGAATGTTGGCTGTGAGGGGAAAGAAGCATACCATTCGTTCTGCGTAGCAACAGAGGAGAGAAAAGGGATCCAGAGAGGCGGTTCTCTCAATCCTCTGGAAAAACAAACAAATAAAACTGTCAAACCTATCCAATTAAGTTGCTTTGTCATAGAGTGAAATCTTACCATAAAAGTAAAGTCAATGTTTGCTGGCGGCTGACATTGAGAGGCTCCGACTCACGGTGACTCACAGGGGCTGAGAGGACTGTGCCAAAGCGGTGTCAAGGTTTTGACCTCCCAGAAACATCATCGGGCCTGTCTTCCAAGGTGCCTCTCGGTTGGTTCAAACCACTAGGCTTTTGAGCACTTAACTGAACCACCCAGCAACTCTAAAGACAACAGAACATAATCCGTATTTTGAATTCCTACATTGAGAATCCAAGAACTGATTGTGTGTGAGTAGGCAGGTGGTGGGGAAGTTTAGATTGAATGATACAAGCTGTCTTCCCAACTCTAAGATGCTAGGATGATGAAGAAATGTCCTGGGGGCATCGCTGACCTCTTCTGGCTCTACAGAGAGAAGCCAATTCCATGCCAGTCCAAGGCTGATTGTCCTAAGGCAGCCGTTACTCACAACTGCACCCTCTATCTTTCTTTACCCAGTTTTGACACCAGCCCTCCTTCCCACAGCACTCTACTTCTCTGCTGGGTTCAATCACTCATTGCAATAAGCACACAGAAGTCACAGGCAATCCTCATGATGATGGGCTGATTGGGGAAGCTACCAGGTTACAAACTGTGAAGGCTACATTCTTTGGTCCACGAAACCTCTTCTGAGCCAGGCCGTCTCTCACCGATCCTTGACCTCGGCCTTGTTCTGTGGGCTAGGGCGCTTGCCACTTGTCTCATGGTTTCAGTGCTGCCCTCTGCTCTGTTTCATGGTCTCCACGTGCCTCCTCTGCCCTGGCTCATGGTCTTGCAGCTTCTAGTGCCTCCGCCACTTCAGGCAGGGGTCTCCCCCATGCTCCACTGGGGGCTCTCCTTTCCTGTCACCGAATTCTCTTTCTTCCTGCTTCTGAGATGGCTCGTCAGTGGAATAGCAAATCTGACCAGTTCCCTAATTAGAGTCCTCTATACCTTATTTGCATGGTCCCACCCTGGTGGGAGTTACAAAGAACATGGAGAGAGGAATCATAGTAAGCGATTTTATTTCACCGCAGATGTTGTAATTGATCGAATTCTACTTCACACAGCAGCCAACAGCACATGTGCAGAACCGGCCTGGAGAATACCAAGATGTAGAGTTAATATGCAGAAGAATACGCTGCCCATTTCACCATAAGTGGTGAGAAGTTGAACCACGGCAGAGAGGGTGGGGCTGGAGAGGAGATGTGAATCCAGTGCTGCACCTGGGGCGGATGTGATACGTCTTACAGACTCGTTGGGCAGGAGAAAGAAAACAGGAACTGGATAGAGGGAGCCACCGGTAGAGACTCCAAGCAGGGTCCTCTCAACCTCATCCTCAATCCCACTCCCACTCCCACTCATTGCCATTGAGTCAATGTTGTCTCATAGCCACTCTAAAGGACAGGGTGGAACTGCCTTCTATGAGTTTCTGAGACTGTAACTCTTTATTGGAATGGAAAGCTTCCTCTTTCTCTCTCTGAGTGGCTAGTGATTTCAAACTGCTGAACTTGCAGTCAGCATCCTCCAAACATCACCACTACACCACCAGGGCTCCTTCAGCCTCAATAGAGCTTGCATATCAAGAACTATCTTTGCGCAAAAAAGTCACCTGGGGCATGAGTGAGATTGACTAATTGATTGCAAGTAAGAAGAAGGAATGGCTGACAGAAGAGCAATTAGTTACAGGAATTCTCAGATGAGAGACTGGGGAAAGTGGGATGGCAGGGAGGGAAGAGACACTGGGGAGGAAGGATTGAGTTGGGGCCTTCTATTGTAATTGCGGTTTAAATCAGGCATTTTGCAATCTCTGCCCAGTTACGTGACATGTAGACCTAGGTCACAGTGAACATGTCTTCCGGGAGCGAATGAGTGTGAAATGACTGAGATCTGACTAAGTTCCTTGAGGCTAGGGCCCATTTTGTGACCTAACCTAGAATAGATCATTTTAGACCCACAGTGTTAAATCAATGTCAGAAGACATTGTGGATCATCTCTTCAAGTGGGGCCTCTTTGGTTGTTGTGGTTGTTAGGTGACCTTGAGTTGGTTCTGACCCCTGGTGATCCTTGTACAACAGATTGAAATACTGCCCAGTCCTGTGCCATCCCCACAACTATTCCTGTACTTGAGCCCCTTGTTGTAGCCACTGTGCCAATCCATCTTGTTAAGGGGCTTCCTCTCGTTCACTTCCCCTCACTCTGCCAAGTATGATGTCCTTCTCCAGGGACTGATCTCTCTTGGGTTACCTTCCATAATTTTGACCCACCCAAGTTGCGGCATTTTGTTACAACAGCTGTGTAAAACCAATCCATGAAAGGTTTAATTCAATGTTGAATACTGTGACCATCGCTGAAGCTATTTTAATTTTAAGTCAGCCACGTGTAAGTACATTCCATGTTGTTTCGTGCTTCATATAGCTTGCCATGTTGTTTCCAATAAATGCTTTAATTGTTTCCCTAGGGTTCAACCAGGAGTTTAGAATGCGAGCTCACTCCTATTTGAGGTTGACTTGACTCTCCGCTGTTCCTTGTTATTGCATAAGTCTAATGAGAGGTGGCAACTTGGGAAGGAAGAAGCCAGAATGCTCCTTCGTGGCACGGATGGCAAGACTTTGTCTTACGTACTTTGGCAATGGTATCAAGAAGAGCTGAGTCCCTGGAGAAGGACATCATGCTTGGTCGTGTAGAGGCGCAGCAATACGATGGCTGCAACAATGAGAACAACTGCGAGGAGGGCGCAGGGCCAGGCAGTATCTCCTCTATTCTTCAGAGGGTTGCTATGAGTCGGAACCAGCTCAACGGCACCTAACACCTAGTAA